CAGACTGGCTGGATTCCCTTTTGGTTAACTTCGGTGTCTTCCGGTATCTTAAGCCAAGTCTTGGCCTACTCTAATGAGGGGAGCTGCTAACCATCCTTCAGCATTATCCTGCCCATTTTCAAGGCTGCGTTGTAACAAACATATATGTATCATAAATGCCTGTGGTTGTATATTTTGGTTTTGTTGTTTTATAAATTAATCACCTGTGACTTTTAGATTCTTTGTTTGGTGTTTCTCTCCAGTAGTCACCCAACCCTTGTTAATAAATTATTCCTGTACATAGCTATATATAGTCTTTCCTTTTTCTTTCTGTAGGGGTTTCTATAAAAATATTCATGGATATGGGGCACCTATGTGGCTCAGTTGGTTAAGTGTCTGACTCTTGATTTCGGCTCAGGTCATGATCTCAGGGTCGTGAGATTGAGCTCTGGGTGGGGCTCTATGCTCCATGGGGAGTTTGTTTGAGATTCTCTCTCTCTCCCTCTGCCCCGCTCACATGTGCGCGTGCGCTCTCTCTCTCCCTCAAATAAATAAATAAATCTTAAAAATATATATATATATGCATGCACACGGATAGAAAAAATACATAAAAATCAAAATAGTTCTTTAAGGGGGTGCCTGAGTGGCTCACTTGGTTAAGCATCCAACTCTTGATCTCAGCTCTGGTCTTGATCTCAGGGTTGTGAGTTCAAGCCCCTCGTTGCGCTGCACACTGGGTGTGGAGCCTATTTAAAAAAATTTTTTTTTGTTAGGATATAGGATCATAGGTATCTGCATTCATACTTATTTTTAATGTTTTTAAAAAAACAAGTAATGGGGCACCTGGCTGGCTCAGTCAGAAGAGCACGTGACTCTTGATCTCAGGGTTGTAAATTTGAGCTCCACGTTGGGTGTAGAGATTACTTAAAAATAAAATAAAATAAATATATAAATAAAAATAACAGTTCATCAAATGATATGCCTAAAGTAAATGCTAAATGGTCTAGTTTTTTGTGCAACTGCATAAAGTCAGGTTATTAAATTCAAGAAACCACTGAAATTAAAGTTAGTATCATTCGATAATTCTTAACCTTAAAAATTAGTTACAAACATCTGTTATTACAAGGCAAAATTAGTGGAGTGGAATTAGGAAGAAACCAGACCTGTTCGGTTTTACACTTTAATGATGTAGAAATGTGTCTAAACATCTTAGAGGACAGTAATCAAAATTGCTTTTTGAAAAGTTGGGCCTGTCTTCAAAAAGGAATTTTCCAAAGTTAACTAGATTTTTTAAAAACTCAAAAAACAAAAACCAAACTACTAAATGTTGCTTTTAAATGTACCTAAATACTCTGGAATCTTGGGTTTGGGAAAACCTGTTGTGCTATTAGGTTGACTGTTATACTTTATGGTAGGGAACAGTTTTTTAAGACCTGTAATAAAGAAGTGCATTATGATTGCCTCACTCTTTCATATCCAATTCAGTATTTTTTTCTGAAATAGTGATCTAAATAAAACTAGACGTTCCACATTCAATATCGTTAACATTGTATTTTTTTTTGCATTGTTGGATATTTTTAATTAAATGGAGGTCATTTATAGCAGCTTATGAGATTTATATCAGTGATTTTTGTTTGAGAGAAACTCTTGAACCATTGCGTGTTTTGATGAAGAAGTAGGAACACCGTCACCTTTTCATAAATTATTTTAGGTAAATTTAAAATTTCATCCTAGATGTTTCCCTCTGCCCAGCACACTTTCCTTTATCACCACTCCCGTGATGCTTGTTAACAGAAGCAAATTAATTTTAGTATTAGCTTAAGCAAAATACGATTAGGAAGCCCAGTCTGCTGAGGAAGTAGCCATATATATTTCAGAGCTAAATACAAATAATTTCTAAGTTACATGTTGTTTTGGATAGTCCATGTTACATCTCTGCTTTATTAGGAAGGATAATTATGATTCAGATGCTCTAATTTTAACCTTGACTGACATCATTGCAGTTCAAGACATTTAACCAGAATTTATTAGATAGGGGTATCTCTAAGATTGTGTTATCACATATATTACTGCTGACTGGTTTTATACTGCTGATGAAACAGCTGCAATGATTATTTTGTTCTTGTAGATTTTGTAAATGAAGATAGAATATAAAAGTCCCAGGAAACTCACCATATGTATTTTTAAACCAATACAAATGAAAACTATGTTGGCCTGTAGCAATCTAAAGTGTATTCTTGTATTTATAGTATTCATCAAAGTATTAAGCGTGCATTTGTTAAAAGTTCTGCATTCTGTTCATGTCTGAGTTGAAAGCCTAATTAATGTAAATGTGCCTTTTTGTGCATGGTATTCATGGTTATGTCATGAAGATATCTTTATACTGGATAAGATAATAACCAGTGCTTATTGAAAGTCTATAATGGGTGAGGCACTTTATGTATAATTTAGAATTTCATTTAAGTCTTATAAAAGGTGTGTCAACTAATCATTATCTCCATTTTGTTATGAGGATGTTGAAGTTCAAAGAAGTTCAGAATCTTGCTTACATCATGTAAGCAGGTTAGTGGAGGTTAATTGGATTTGAATCCAGGTCTGACTCCAGTGCTCATGTGTGCCGTATTTTTTCTTCATAATATGTCCATTCTGCGGACTGTACAAGTCCTAAAAAGTTAACCTCCTTTTCCGCAAACTTGATGAAAATCTAGATTTACTAATAGACAAATTTGGGATACCCTTTACTCTTGTGAGATGATTCATCTCATGTTCTTTAAATGACCCAACATGACATTAAAAATATTATTTGCTTTCCCATAGTTCAGTTTGTCACTCAACATTTACGAGTACCTGCGTTGTGAGATTTTATCAAGTGAGGCAAACCTGGGTTTTGGCCCCTGTGTATTCAGCACATACTTCATGAACGCCTGTTTTATGCCAGGTTCTAAGTGTTAGAGATGTCAGTGGCTGGCAAAAGCAGACACAGTATACCTGGAGCTAGTATACCTGGGTTTCAAGTCTTGGTTCCACTTTTACCTCTTAATAACTGTATGACCTTAGGTTCTTAGCCCTCGTAAGTCTCTCTTTCTTCACCTGAAAGAAGGAAAGAATTATAGCACCTTTCTTAGGGTCATTGTGAGGATTAATTGAGATCACGTATGTTCGTAGTGTTGGTATCAGGCATGTAATGAAACAATAAGCGTTACTTTTTAATATCCTTTTTAAAATAGCAATTGAACTATGAACAAATTTCTTTTAAAAAAATAACAAGCTTCATTAGTATTATTAGCTTCAGTCTGGGATGGTAGTCATCTTTTCTTACTTGCAAAGTCTCAGTAAGTGTTTCATTTGCTCTGCACACAGCCATATACATTTTAGAAATATAGTACACTGTATTTTTATTTTTCGTATTTTATTTTTTTTATTTTTCGTATTTTAAAGACAGCGCTAGAGGCATTGCATGGGATAATTCCAAATACAAGAGTATGTATGTTTGGCTTGTGGCAAGTAAACTATTTTTTTATTACTTCTCTTTTGAAAAAGAAGATTAAGAGTCACTTTGATTTATTCTGTAAAGCAATGAGAATAATGAGAATTTCTGTGAGAAGAATTTTAAGGAAGAAATTCTTCATTGACTGCAAAGAAAAATATGACAACATCACTCTGACTTATGGTTGGCATTTTGTATGATTTCTTGAGTCTTTTTTAATGGAAAGTATTTCTAAATATTTTAAGAAATGGGAAAATTGAAAATGATATTTTCTGCATACTTAACAACACAGTATTTATGCACTTGGCTATGTAAATCCAAATGCAACTAACTGAATTTAAAAAGGTACATGTATAAAGAGTTATACAAGAGTAATTAATCTAGTCAAATATCCTTCTAGATTATTAAATTGTTTTAGAATATTATGATCTATCAAGAGTGTGAGGATGAGTTAAATGCATCCACCTATGATTTCTTTTAGAGACATACATTAAAATGAATGACAGATTTCTTTAAGTAGTAGTTTCCATTGGTAATAATTTGTTACGACAGTTAAATTCTCTTTTTGTGAATTCATGCAAAAACTTACACTACCTCTTAGGAGATTTGTTCAGTGATATCTCCTGTAAAAAGATATGTCAGGGCTATTTTCATTATCTGTAATGAAATCTTGTTAGAGAAAATCTTGCTTTGACATTAAATCATTCTCATTTTTTTCATTACCAAAGTCCAAATGCCAAGGAAAAGTCAACTCACAAGCTGGAGAGGTATGTAAACAGTTCAATTACAGTGAACTGTTCTGAAGTAGATTTTACTATATTTTTCCATTTTCATAGTTCCTTTAAAGCCTGATTAAGCCATGTTAAAGCACATAAGAGATAATTTGATGTTTTATTAGAAACATTTTTCCCATTATACATAAAAGAAGACTGTGTGGTTAATATGGAATTTTGGTTTGTTTTTTTATGTGGATTTTTTAAAGGACTTTTTTGTATAATAGATTTTAAAATATTTCCTTTAGTATTTGCAGCCAACTTTTGCATTACCTTTGATTTTGTAAGTCAGAGTTCTGAGAATGAATATTAGTTTTGCTGCTAATTTATTCTAAGTTTTTAACGTGTAAGCAAACTTTTGGCATATATGCTAATTTATGTAACCTCAGTTAGGATTTAAATTTATTAAGATTAAGATTTAGTTACCTGTTTTAATGGTTAGATTTTAAAGGAGCAAATTTAAGATATAATTTATTAGAAGCTAAAGAAAATGAGAGGCGTAGAAATTATTTAGCTGCTCTTTGGGAGGGAAGAAATGCACTCAAATTTAGAGCTAAGTTTCTGCATTATTTCATTGAGAAGCCAAAATAAAACAATTACAACTTCCTATTTAGCATGAGGTTAAAGAAATTAACACAACTCAGTGAGTTTGAGATTTGCATCAAAATAGGTATTGAAAAGAATAAAGTTCTTTCATAAGAATAATGTTTAGTGATGCTCATTTAATATTTTTGAGCTTGAAAAATGGATTCATAGGATGGTTCTGAAAATGAACTCCTTTATTATTTTGATACCACATAAGCTGTTAAGGCTAAGTTATCCATGCTGTGTTGGAGCTCAGCCTGCAAAGAAATGAATTTACTGATTTTTGTCACTTGCAAGACCAGCGAGGGTTACTGTAGCCTGCCAGTTGACTACATCAATGCATAGTACTGTGTGAAATCATCAAGTGGTACTCTTTGTTTTGAAAGTGATACATGTAACTTTTTATTGTAACTATTAATACAAGCAAAGAAGCTAGTAGTGCTTTTATTTATTTTATTGTCATTACGCAGTTTTCTAGGAATGTTCAGCAATATGTCAATTCAGCTATAATTCTAGTATGAAATACAGGAACTATGAATAAGCTTTTGGTGCCTGCCATTAAAATTAAATCAATAACTTTAATACCTTCTTACAATTACATTTGGTTTCACTATAGCTCTTAGTACATCTGCACATTTCTTTTGCTCTCAGTAGTTAATTTTTACCAGTTCAGTTTCTTTGTAGTTTTATAGAAAAGATTTTAAATCTTATAGCCCCTTAACATATTATATTACCATTTACTTAAATGAATCATAGATAATGTACATGCTTGTTCATTGTGCAAGTACCCAAGACATTCTGATTGAAAGACAGCTTCAGGAGAAATAAACAAATAGCAAAAGCATTCAGTTTTTATTTACAATATGTAGAACATCATTGTTTTCATTATAAGAGTCTGATCAGCAGGAACACCCTTGAGAAGGACATCTTTAGCGATAGAATTTACATACCGTTAGCTCACAGTAATTGATTAGCAGCAGGGCTCTGAGTACGGAGCTGGCCCGGCACACGTTATTCGGGATGCCTTTGATGCTGTGGTTTTCCGAAGCTTGCTGGCTGCATGCTTGTTGCCTTTGTTCATGACACAGGTAATTACTTGATAAAATGAAGTGCATCGCTGTGAACAATTGACCCTTTGGAACAATCCAGGCTGGTCAGCAGTCTAAAACCACACTTTAAGGCCATCATTATAGCCTCAAACTTAAGAGTTTCCAGGGTACAGACAAAGGTGTTGTCTTCCTTTAGTACAAGTCGAGTGCCATTTTCAGACTTTATGAAGTATTTAAATTGAATGATATTTGATGATATTGAAAACTCCTCTGGAAATCCATCCAGCCTGCTTTTGGACACCAGAACAATGCGAGATTTGATTTTTGATATGAAATCAGGAGCATTACAGAAAATTCTCAGTCCTTGTGAGCGATCATGGTTATCTGTTATTTCCAAGAAAGTAGTCTCTCTGGGTGTTAGCTGTTCTTTTTCCCACCTGGATTTCACTTCCTCCGCCAGTCCCTTGAGCTGAAAGAATTCTGCTTCTTGTGCAAGAAGTTGATTTTCTCGAAACCCTTCGGGCAGTAGAAGTTCTCCATTTCGTAGGAAGTTTAGGACATGCCTGAAGAGGAGTCCATCCCTGTCTATGAAATAATGACCATCAGCATCAAACGGGCAGAGGATTTTTCCATTTACTATACCTTCAAGGAAAGTGTCTGGGTACTTGGTCAGTGTTTGTTTTTGAGTAATGTATAAATATCCACCAACGTTGAGGGTCATCAGTGTGGATTTGCAGTTCTTTCCTCGGTCAGCATCTTCCAAGCTGTTGTGTTTCCCTTCATACTCCTTTTCTTTTTCTCTTCTGTTTATTTTACGCTCCATTTTTGAAAATGCTATTTCAGCCTGTTCTTCTTGGCTTTGAGATTTTTAAAAAAGAAACACTACCACACAAGCACGCCTTTATTCAGCCCCAGCCTGGTGATGGAATGGAAATGCGGGCAGCGCCGCCTGCGCTGTCAGCTCCGTTTTGCAGTAGGTGGCGTATCAGCTATGTGTGCGGGAGCTTTCTGGAGTAAGACAGGGGAAAAAAAAAAAAAAAGATAATTTGCATTTAACTGTATGGGGGAAGGAATTTGTTGTTTAAAGATTTTCATGTATATTCTTTGAAATAATAAAAGTTACTCAGAATAAACTGAATTTCCTCTTAGCAGTTAAGCAATTACAAACATTTAATTCTCCAGCTGAGTTTGAGTGTGTTTCCATTTCTAAATGTCTTTAAAGTTATTGCTCAATCAGGCAAGCTTAATATTGAATAATATTGTTAACTTTTGGAGAGTAATGTATATTGAATTAGTATCATCTTTTAAAGTAAATCATAAACAGGAAATCTAAAGAGAAAGGAAGTAGGTGTATAGAATCTTTTCTCCTATAAAAAGTCACATATTTCACAGTGGTGTAGTCATTTTAGAGACCCAAGTGAGAATATTTAAACCTGTTATTTGTGATATTGTACTTGAATTTAATTGAATTTGCATGTAATTCTGATTTGGGGATTTTAGGCATGTGAGAAGAAATTTTCTTAAAGCCCTTTAACAGAAGAGTCTATTAATTAATGTGTTAATTAATTAGTTTATTTATTTATTTATTACCCTAAAGGGAAAACATCAGATATACAGGCTTTGCAGTAATCATTTACATTTCTTTTTGGTTAAGATTTCCTATGGAAAATTCATAAGCTTCTTTTGCCCTAAAGCTGCTCCAGTGCTGAACAAAGACTTGGGCTGCTGTAGGAAATACTGTAACTGCGTGTGTACGCGTGTGCACGTGCATGTGTGCGTGCGTGCGTGCTTTCACACACGTGCATGTGTTTCAGAAGATAAAAGATTCAGAATACCTTCTATAAAACAGTGTCATGGTAAATTTCACTGTTTGTTTTTTTTTTCATTATTGTTGGTCTCTCCCCCGCCCTTCCCCGCCCAGTGTTCACAAAAGGCAAGAGAAAGGGCCAAAGACAGCTTTTTTTTTTTTTTTTTTTTTAACTTGGGAACTGGAACAGTGTTGAGTCTGGTGTTTTTCCCATTTCTTTCTTTTTTTTTTCCTTTCCTCCTTCCCTTGTAACTTGCCTTCCAAAGCATTTTAGAGATCTGAGCTTTTATTTCTAGAGTTTAAAGGCCCAGTGGTAAGAAATGTGAACATTTTCCCCTGTACACTATTATTTGACTGGTCTATCTGCTAAATTATTCTGAGGAACTACATTATTATCAGAATTAAATTAGATTTAATATTAAATTGACTTCTATTACATTAAAGGTATTTTTAAATTATTCAACTGTATGTTGGTGGAAATAATGGAGCAGTCTTCTAAAAATGCTTATTACCTTGTATTTTCTGTAAACAATGTTAGATTTTCTTCAGATATAAAAAATGATATCCTTAATTATAGCAGGTAATATCTTGATCATTGAGATTATCAAAAGTCCATTGAAATTAAACTAGAAATCTAATGCATAAACATTTTTAGAGCTGAGTTTTTGCTTAGAAACCATAAAATTCAACCTCCTCATTTTACCAAAAATAAAATTACACTCTAGAGAGTTTTTATTTAGTGTTTTATCTAGAACTTTACAGCTTGTTAATGGTAAGCCAGCACTTGAACTAAACCTTCCTCTCAGTCCTGTATCTTTTAAGAAGAGTTTACTCTTATATTCGGTTTCTCTTTTTTTAAGATTTTATTTTATTCGTCAGAGAGCAAGCACAAGCAAGGGAGCGGCAGGCAGAGGGAGAGGGAGAAGCAGGCTCCCCACTGAGCAGAGAGCCTGACAGGATCATGACCTGAGCCAAAGGCAGACACTTAACCCACTGAGCCACCCAGGAGCCCCATATTCTAACAGTTTCATGTGTGTGTTGATTGTGTTGTTTTGGATTCAAGTCTTTTTCTATGGATCAGACTTAAATATTGAATATATTTTTTTGGTACAACTTTGGAAGTGCATGGGGTTCATATGTTTATAGCCACTGCACCACGTTATAAGCAGAATCAACAAAGGCATAATAATTTCATTGATAGGCCTAGTCCTCTTTAAATGAACTTTATGAACATCAGAATCAATAGAACATAACTATTATAGTGATGGAACCCAGGTTTTGTGTGTTTAAATCAAGTGATGTAGTAGAATACCATGTAATACTAGGCCTTCCTTACGTCCTGTTTGGCCCGTTTGTAGAAGCCGTCATGGGGAAATAAAGCTAGTGCTGCCAGAAGATGGGCTTTCCCAGGATGGGAAGGTGAGGCAGAGCTGCTGCAGGTTGGACTGCTGCCTCTACAGTCATCAGTCCCAGGCTGCCTTACACTTGCTAACTCACTTCTGGCTTCTGCTCCCTGATTTTTATTCTTTGTTTCTGCTGGCTTGCCTTGACAGTCTCTGAACCACCCGTGTGTGCCCCTGACCCTTGTTTCTCACTCTAGACTTCACTCTGGTGTTCTTGGTTTCTGCACACCTGACATGTATGATTCGTTTGCCACCCCCATGGCCAGGCAACAAGAGTGTAACAGAGGCTTTGTCTTAGTGCCTGACTAGAAGTTGATAGGAATCCATTGCACTTTTCTTTTGTGTCCTGCTGCCCCCAACTTGCAGTCTTAGAAAAAGAAGATTGGCTCCGGTAGGCCTCACTTTATCCCCGTTACTCCACATCATCCCCTTTAAAGTAACATGATTGCATCTTACAGAAGTGGCAGGGGCTTGTTATCACTGCTGCCTGTTGTGGTACACCTGCCCCTTACAAGAAAGCCATGTTGTTTCTTTTTTTTCTTTTTTTAAAGATTTTATTTATTTTTTTGACAGAGAGAGACATAGCGAGAGCAAGAACACAAGCAGGGGGAGTGGGAGAGGGAGAAGCAGGCTTCCCGCAGAGCAGAGAGCCCGATGTGGGACTCGATCCCAGGACCCTGGGATCATGACCTGAGCCAAAGGCAGATGCTTAACGACTGAGCCACCCAGGCGTCCGCCACGTTGTTTCTTTATTCTGTTCTATTCTAAGTTTGTATTTGCCTGCTTGGGTGGGTGGAGGGTGGGGAAAGCTTGTCCTGGACATTGTCAGTCAGGTCCACATAGCCCTAAGACTATAAAAATCGTGCTTTAGTACCTATGCCAGGGAAAACGTGATGTGATCATCTTTCTCCACATTGCTGCAGATATAAACTGCAGTTAATCAGTTCAACAGTTTCAGTAAAAGGCTTAACCCAGGGGCGCCTGGGTGGCTCAGATGATTAAGCATCTGCCTTCGGCTCAGGTCATGATCCCGGGGTCCTGGGATCGAGCCCCATGTCTGGCTCCTGGCTCGGCAGGGAACCTGCTTCTCCCTCGCCCTCTGCCTCTCCCCTGCTCATGCTCGCTCTCTCTGTCTCAAATAAATAAAATCTTTTTTTTAAAAAAAGGCTTAACCCACATGTCAAAGATTAGCTCACTTAGATCCACTTGACCACTAGACTTGAGGATTGCATCTCCTTTGTAGACAGAAGGTTTTTTTGTTTTTCTTTTTTAAGAGTAGGGGGGCCCTGTTTTCACTCAGCATCCTAGACCTTTATTAGAATTAGAGCACCTTTATCTTAAACATCTATAATCACACAAATAAAAGAGCCCTTTAGCCAACTTTGAGGATTTGAATAGTACCATTGTTACGTTCTTGGTATAAGTCAATCCATTAGTTAGGGCCAGTGCCTAATCAAATTCTAGCAAAATCTTCCACTAATATGATGATGCTAAATCCTCCACTACCTGCATTAGGTGGAACTTACTCCAGGCCAGTGGGAGGAGTTTCCATCTTATCTACCAGCTCCTGATGGAAAATGAGGTCATTGTCATTGCCATGATTGACACAGGATGTCATCATAATATATGCTTGCTCCATTTATATGCCATGGAAGGAAGTAGAACCTCACCAAGAAGGTAATCTCTCTTGGTTGGAAGATACAAGATTTGATGATCCCCCTCTAAGCTCAACATATCACTCCTCTATGAAATTCAAACATTCCTTTTCAAGGAAAAGGGTTGGTCTTAGGAGCTGCCTTTAAAATAAGAACATTGGGGACACCTGGGTGGCTCAGTCGGTTAAGCGTCTGCCTTTGGCTCAGGTCATGATCCCAGGGTCCTGAGATGGAGCCCCACCTTGGGCTCCCTGCTCTGCAGGGAGTCTGCTTCTCCCTCTCCCTCTGCCCCTCCCCCAACTTGTGTTCTCCACACACCCTTCTCTCACTCACTCTCAAATAAATAAAATCTTAAAAAAATAAAATAAAATAGGAACATTGTGCTTCTGCCTCCACAGTCTCCACCTATACCAGATCTTTTTAGTTGATTTTACCTCCATGTGTTCTGCCTATCTTTTAAAAAAGATTAGTTCCTATTACCTTAGAAAGAAAGTAAAAGCAACTACAGCTAGTGCAGCTGCTGTCAGTTTTTACTTAAATCTGGGACTCTGTGTGCTGGACTTTGCCACATTTTTTCAAGCTTATTGATCTGGGTCTTTCTTTCTCACTTGAATATGATGCCCGCCTCTACCTGACTCCATGATGATAGCTTAATCTGTTCATGTTCCCAAATCTGGTTAACCCTTGGCCATCTTACTTTTATGTCCTCTGATGCCTCCTTGCTTTGAACTGTGGCTTTCACAAGCTAAGTTTCTCTTTTTTAATGTGTGCCTTACCTCTTTTTCATAGTCTTCTGTTAATAGCATTTAATATGAGAAACATTTGTTTCGATATTCAGCTATGACTTTTACTTTAGCCTCTGTGTTAAAAAATAAAAATTAATTGAAAATAAAAATAAACTACAATGTAATGTATTAACATTTTAAGAATCAAGGATTTTTCCATGTTAATCTAATTCTGTTTGAATGCCAAAAGTTTAGTTTAGTTTCGAAATACAAAATCATCTGCATTAGATGTTGTCTGGTACTGGGATTGTACTAATACAAGTGCTGCCTCCCCTGCCTTATGGAGCTGATTGGCCACAGTATCTAACCAACTATGCAGGGTGCATGAATCCCCCTAGGAATCATTGGATAT